AATGTCAGCGAGAGCTTTTGGTTTTTTTTTTTTTTTTTTTTTAGTGGAAAGCTCATTAAAGTGGTACTAAGTGGTTGTAGAATAGGGACTTCTGGAAGCCACTGTCAGGAATCCCTCATTACAAATACCATCTCGTGACAGAACAGTTACAGAATATGTTCCATCTCACATGGAGAGGGCTCTGATGCCATCTGTACTACAGGAGCTAAGTTATTCAAACACTGGGATGTTACCAGCCAGCAAAGAGCCTGGCTGGGGTGCCTTTTCACAGTCCAAGATCCTCAGATAAGCCCCCAGGGTGTAACTCAGAGCAGTGGAGGAAACAAACATTAAACTAGCTGGTGAGCTGTACAGCCAAGAGCACTTGGGACAAATAGGATGACAGCAGATTACAAGCCAAGTGCTTGACAGCTGATCCTGAGAGCTGGCTCATTCAGATTTGCTTCCGCATCTCTGAACCACAAAGCCATAATTAAATCACAGCAAGGAGAACAATCCCTCACCCCCTCTGCCCCAGATCTCAACTTCCCCATGCAGACCAGTTGTTTGTACTGGAATTTGGGCCTCCCTTATTTCATGATGTTAATTGATTGATGGTTGGGATTCTAATCTGAAAGATGTCTCTATGGAGCATGAAGCCTACGTTTCCAAGGCCTACCTACTCCTTTGGTACAAATCTGGTCCAGCTGCCTGAACAATAGATGGACATGAGATTGGGTGATTTCTACTAGATTGGGGTGGGGAGGAATTTGCAGAAGCGTGCTGAACTGGCACTCAAAAACATGTTAACCATCTGGCTTTTTGAAAAGTCCAGGCAGAATCTGAATTGTGCCAGGACCCCCAATTTACTCTCTGGCACAGTCTATGACTGGACAATTCAGCATCAGACAGAAACACATACTGAGTTTGTGCGACTATAATGTCAGAAGCTATATTACATAAAAGTATTCACAACAGTAGTTGAACAGAGGAAAGGAGAGTTCTGGAGGGATAAGAGCCCAAACATCGACTTGGAATCAGAATCTTAGAACTGGAAGAGACCTCAGACGAAAGGTAAAATGCAGAGAATTTGAATAACTTGCTCAGGGTCACAAAGCTAACTAGTAGCACAGCTGGGTCTAGAATCTGGGTCTTCTGACTTCCAGCCAATGCTCTTTTCCCTATACACACTGGATCCACTCGATCCCTTATATGGACAACGGATCCCCCCATGAATCTGTCACTGGGTTTTTTTTTTTTTTCGCCGAACCTCATGGCTTGCATGATCTTAGTTCCCCGACACCCTCGGCAGTGAAAGCGCGGAGTCTTATTCACTGGACCGCCAGGGAATTCCCACGAATCTGTCACTCTAAACAAGAGAAAGAGCTCAGATGAAAGAACAGCCAAGTTGGGGATTAGTCCTTGCTAGTGGGCAGGGACAAATAACTGAGTAACAACTAGGGGTTGTGAAGAGCCAGCATTACAGTTTGACCACAGATCTGATTGCCCTATACATTAGCATTCCCTTGGAATGCATACTGACAATTTTAAGAACTTAAAGAAGTTCATTAAAATGCAACCCAATGAAAAGCATATGAAACAAAGGTGGCCCTGGGAGCTTCTGTACCTCTGATGCATAGATAGACCTACGGACAGTGTGACCCAGTTAGGAACTGCCTGTCTCTTCCTAATGCAAAGATGTTTGGAAAGGTGATATGCCACGTTGGGTTGACAGTCTCTAGCTGTGCGGCCATGTGATTATTCCTGTCTTCCTGGACTGCAGTGGAGAAAATCAAAAGCTGGCTGGTGACTGCCAAGGTTAATTGAGGGAAGACATTTCTGCTTCAGCTTTGGAAGGGCTTATGATGCAGAGGTCCTAGTTTCTTAAATCCATACCTAGATGGCTTCGGGGAAGGTGGGGACGGGGGAAGGTGGGGACGGGGGAAGGATTTTCCTTTAAAAAGCACCTGTCCTTTCTTTTGCATCTTCTTCCAAGATACTTTGGCTAATACAACATACACATTTCAGCCTGATTGAGGGGGTGTGGGTGGGGAGGAAAGGACAATATTTAGGAAGACAAGCAATTTAAGGAATGAAGAGCAATGTAGTATACTAATAATGAAAAGTATGACAATTCTGTGTTCCGCACGGTGCTTCTGAGCTGCAGGCAGGTTGACCCCCTCTGTGTGCTCAGGCAGTCCGCTGTCAGAGGTGATGCTGGTGATCCT